AAAAAAAAAAAATTTAAAAAAAAAAATAAAGAGCTACACAGTATGATCCAGCAGTTCTGAGTACTTATCCTAAGATAATCAAACACTAACTTGAGAAGATATCTGCACCCCCACATTCACTGCAGCATTATTTGCAATAGCCAAGACATGGAAGCAACTTCAGGGTCTAATGATGATCACATAAAGAAAATGTATATATGCACATCACTTTTTCTTCATGCAAAAAAAAAAAAAAAAAAAAAATCCAGCCATCTGCAACAACATGGATGGACCTTGTGGGCATCGTGCTAAGTGAAACGTCAGACAGAGAAAGACAAATACCATATGATCACCTTTATGTAGAATTAAAAAAAAAAAAAACAGAGGCACCTGGCTGGCTCAGTGGAGTGTGCAACTCTTGATCTCAGGGTTGAGTTTAAGCCCCATATATGGTGTAGAGATTGCTTAAAAATAAAATCTTAAAAAACACAACAAACAAAAAATTCCTACTGATTTGTAGAGAACAGATTGGTAGTTGCCAGAAGCACGGGGCGGCTAAAATGGGTGAAGCTGGTGAAAAAGTATAACTTCCAGTTATAAATCCTGGGGATTTAATGTTTAGCACAATGAATACAGTTAATAATACTGTATTGTATATTTGAAATTTGCTGAGAGTAAATCTTAAAAGCTCTCATCACAAGAAAAAATTTTGAATTATGTTAACTAGATATATTATGGTGATCATTTCACAAATAAATCATTATGTTATACATCTGAATCTAATATAATGTTATATGACAATTAGATCTCAATTTTTTGAAACAGTTTACCTTCCCTTAAATACTTTATTGTTATTATCAAAACAACTTAATAAATATTGGGCATATTTTTCTTAAGTAACTACAAGAATTTATTTCATGTCATAAAACACGGTATTAACATTTAATGCTCTTTTTGTCTTGCAGGTGTAAAGGGTCAAGTTTTTGATCAGAATGGAAATCCGTTACCCAATGTAATTGTAGAAGTCCAAAACAGAAAACATATCTGCCCTTATAGAACCAACAAATTTGGAGAGTATTATCTCCTTCTCTTGCCTGGGTCCTACATAATAAATGTAAGTATACAGCCCTAGTTATTGTTATTAAAACACTTTAGAACTTGCAATACTTACCCAGAAGGAATCTGAAATAAGTCTGGAAAGTCCCAGAAGTAGATACATCAGGACAGAAGGAAAGGACAACATCAGACATGGCATCTGGCAGGGAGTGGGAGAGGGTGAGAGTGATAGGAACAAACCAAAAAAATCATGTTTTTCCCCAACTGGCAATGTTTTTAATAGAAGCCAAGTTCTATTTCTTTTGATCCCTTTTATGATAAAAGACAGAATGACCCTTATTAATAACAATAATTAAACAATGTAGCCAAAGTACTTCCAAGCTTCATGGAATACCATTTTAACACCCATTTCATGAAACATAATTTCTGCTATTAAGTGGATTGGGGCACAGATTCCTTAGAATTCATTATAAATAAAATTTGATCCACAGACCGACCTATTTTGCAGCCCTTTCATAAGCAAATGATGGTGAGTTCCAATCAATACAAGTAAAGTTCCAGGTTTAATTCTATTAAGATGTTTGAGTCATTTCTTCCTAGGAGGAGGCTTGGACTAGTTTGAGCGCAAATGGATTTTTGTGAATGAATTAAATGAAGTACCTGATTTAGTTGACCAGGTTGTGCCCGTTCCTCTTTGATTTGACTTTCTCTAAGAAACTCAAGATTCTTCTGCTTTGCTTAGTGAGTCTGATGCCAGCTATGGTAGTCTACGTTCTGTACAGAGTGACTCCTGGGGAAAAAAGTCATCTATTCTGTAGTAAAAACTGGCCCTGTATTTTATAAAGGTGAAATAATGAAAGGCATGTTTTTCAATTTATACAACTGCAGGATTCTCTGTTCCGTAGGTTATCCCCACAGTGCCCAGCAGTGGGGGCTCATCTACTGCTAATCCTCTTGCTAAGAATCTCTCCTAGAACCAGGAAGACATCAATTCACTGTGAATCTTTGCCTTGAAAGGCCCCTTATATTCCTGTTACACTGACATTTCCATTCTATGATAAGGGGAGGGGGCTCCTTGTAATGAAGCTAAATTATTTTTATGTAATCCCAAAAATAAGTCACACACTTACAAAGTTATGAATTGTTCATTTCCAGTTAGACTAATGTAGTACCTATTGGCTTTAGCTACTAGTTCTGGGATAAGAGTGGAAGGCAAGACTTTGGAAGCTGAAATGAATGACTGAAGTATATATTAGTGCCCAATAAATGATTTTCCCCATTCTTTTCCTTCTCTACCATATATAGTAAAAGTATTTCTTAGTGGACATGGTCTGTAGTTAGGTTAGCATTTGTCTTATTTTTTCTGATATCTTCTACCAAAAAAATAAATCTAGCTTAAGAGTCAAACTCATAGAAAAAACTGGGTAAAATCAAAGCTTTTTGAGGAAGCAATAAACTTGTACACTTAGATCAGCTGCAAGGAAAATGAAATAAATTAAAAAAAGAATTCCACTTACGAATAATATCGATACCCAATCAGGATATTAAGTACAGACTTGGGACAAAGGGAAACTGTCAACTCTTTACCTTTGCTCTCCATGGAAATGATGGGGATTCAGTCTGTGGCTTTCTTCTCCTGGCTTACATCTCCAAATAAAGGACCTGTCTTTATTTCACTTTATAATTCTTGGGGCAACAGCATTAGCAACGGTGGTCCATATCAATAGGCATTGGACAATTCATTCAGTGAGCAGGACTGAAGCGGTTACCAGCTGGGGAGGCCTGGCAGATGGTTACATGTGTTTCATAGAGGGCACACTTGTAGTGGTGGACATTAGTGTTTTTAGTGCTGGCCCCACAAAACATCTGAAATCACTCAGATAATTCTTTTTTTTTTTTAAGTCATTGGCTTTATTCTTTATTTTTCTAAGATAATATATTTTTAGTTTTATTTAACATTTTTATTTTTTTATAATTTTATTTTTTTTAATTTACATCCAAAGTAGTTAGCATATAGAAAATAATTGTTTCTTGTTTCCTCTCAGGTTACAGTCCCAGGGCATGATCCATACCTCACAAAGGTGGTTATTCCAGAAAAATCCCAGAACTTCAGTGCTCTTAAAAAGGATATTTTACTTCCATTCAGAGGGCAACTGGATTCTATCCCAGTATCAAATCCTTCATGTTCTAAGATTCCTCTATATAGTGATTTGCCAAGCCACTCAGAGGCAACAAAGCCTGGTCTGTTCTTATTTTTAGTGACTGTCTTTCACGTATTTGTCAAATAAAGCAAAATATGGAACACACTCCCCATCATCACCTGGAATCAGGGATTACTCATGCCAGGTTACTGCAACTCTCAACTCCCTCTGTGGGACCTTGACTGAATAAACTCCATGGTCCTTCCCTAAGAAGACAAATGGTTGTTTCCAAATCACAGCAAGCTATGTGTGGTGATAACAAAAGCAATGATTTAGTCTTGATGAATGGAAGATACCTACCTTTCAAGTACTATCCACTTATGCTCAATCTTGAAGTTGTCTTAGAAATTTGTAAGAAAAACTTGAGAATCAAGAAAGAAGTTCCTGCAAGAAAAAAATGGAGCTAATTTTATATACGGAGAGCCAGATGAATATAAGCAATGAACATGAACATTCATTGATTACTTACTATATACAAAACCCTGTGGTGAATGCTAGATGTGAAGATACATAGTAATTACTAGTGCCAAATATAATTAATTCTCAGCACGTGGGGAAATGATAGCACTGGAAATATTTCATTTCTCAGATGTTCTGAGGAGAGAAAATAGGCAACAATGTCTCAGTGGCCCACAAAAACATGGGCCTGATGGGATGACAAGGTTGTGTCTACGGAGCCCCAAAATAACAGGTCAATTAAGTGTCCCTGCCTTCCTGCGCTCAGATGCCACATCAGTTACACTGATGACCCCCAAATGTGTAAGTCCAGCCTCTTGCCAGAGCTTCAAACTCCAGTCCAACTTCCCACTGTACATATCTACCTGGATATGACCCACAGGTACCTCAAATTCATGTAGAAATCACACACATTTTTCTCTCTAGAGCTGCTCTTCCTCCTGTATTTGTCTCAGTGACTGGTACCACCAAACTAGAAACCTGAGTGTTATCCTTGACAGTTTCTTGTCCTCCTTCATCCCATATATTCAGTCAGTCACTAAAGATTGATGTTAATTACAAATGTTGATTGATCTTCCCTCTCTCCATGGCTCGTAACGTTGTCAAGTTTAGGCCACCATAGCTCACTGGCACCACAGTGATGGACCTCTTTAAGTCCATCTTCTACATGGCACTGAGGAAGAGGATCTACTCAAAACAAAAACCATCAGTCAACTGCTTGTAGTTCCTATACACTTAATGTGCTGTTTGTGTACTATCTCTGGAATACCATTCTGACCCACCACGACATTTTCTTTCCCACTCCTTTAAAATTCAGTTCAGGTATCAACTCCTCTAGGAAGCCTCTGCTGACCATCATTCCATTCCATTCCACCCCAGCAACCCCTTCCCAGTCAATCTTGAGACATTTCCTCTTTGCTTCTCTACTGTGTTACCTCTATTATTGAATTTACAACTGTATTATGATCTTGTACTTTCATGTATGATTTTCCCTAATAGAATGTGAGCTCTGAGGCCAGAGTGTATTTAATTTGTTTGGGAAAATTCATTTTTATATCCTCAGAGCTCAGTACATAGCAGAAACTGAATGAATGAGTGAAGAGTTCCACAAACCTGCTACTCCCAGTCTCTCTCAGAAACTGTTGGGCTTTGAGTCATTTTGTCAAATGAGGTCCAATGCTTTGGCAATCTCCAGCTCAGTAGTAACACTGAGAGAAGAGTGTTTTCAAATACATGTCAACAAATAAATTCAAGTATGGTGTTTTTACTACGCTTCGCATTTATCCTAAGGTTCATAGTAAACATGTTACCTGTTAACACAAGCTACCTTTTTTCAATTAGAAAACAAAATTTTTACCATTAGTACTCATTTTGAAGCAACTGTTGTCTACTATCATGAGAGTTAACCCATCTTAAAATATTATATATAAGAATTAAGGGTGGGGGGGGACATCACAAAATAGCAACTCCGTGGGCAGGTTTCTAAGTGCTGTGTATTGCTCATGGACTGTGAGTTGCCTTCGTCTTTCAATTGGAAGTTCTATAGGATCTGAAAATGAAACTACACTGGTTGGGTTTGGTATATGGTGAATGCATGAGAACCACAAGTGAATGGGAGACACATGGGCACATAGGAGCTATTCTTGTGCCAAGCTTATTCACATGTACACAATCATACTTGTTAATCTAAACAGAATTTGTAGTCTTTTTATCACTTATAAAATCTGGTAATAACTTGAATATCTGGGTCATTTTTATTTAAATAAACAGTAATTTATTATATACTTGAAAGTATGTATTGCAGAAAATGATTTTGGATTTCTACAAAGCACATAAAATTCGATTTACCATCAAGCCTTATTTTTCAAGCAGACCTTTGGAGTCATAGCTTTTCCAAGATACCAATTTTCAAAGGGACATAAACCAAAATGTGATGTGGTTCATGAGCCTTAGTGTAAATTTCTTAAGGAAATAATGTTTTTAAAATCAGAAATTTCATCAGAATCAAACTTAAAATCATTTAAAGACAAGTAAAACAAGTAAAATACTCTCTAAACAAATCTAAACCAAACCTTCAACACAGAGTACATTCGGGGTATATATTTTGCAGCAATGGCTGTGCTCAAAAGTAAACTTTGTAGTGAGAGTTTAGTATGACTCAATCCCAGCTACACTCTCCACTAACCAAGTTAAATGTCCAAGAGGAGAAACAGCCATGACATTCCAACTAAGACCAGAGCCCCAAATCTCCCTGTATGACACCTTCCGTACTGTCTCTTTACCCTCTTAGACTGGTGATTATAATCCCCAGGTTCTGAGTTCGGGTATAATTCTGTTTATGGAGAAATCAACATGGTGAGGATTTTTGAGAGAGAGAAAAGAAAGAATATGGGAGTGAAATTTTAATTAGAAAGCAAGAATCTGAATTCAAACCCACCCCACATAGTTTCCTTACCTGTAAAATGAAGGCTCCTGCTTGAGTCTGTGACTATCAAAAGCAGTGGTATGAAAATGCCATATTTTGATGCATTTTTTTGTTACTTGCCCAGGCAGAGAAAGGATAATTAACAGTAGGTGGCATAAATATTTTGAAAGCAGTATAATATACCTTATTAAAGACCAGGTCCCTTCCCCCAGGTATAAACAGAATTGACCTGAAAACAATCACTGGTTAGCTAGAATGAGCATTTAATAATATTTAAGGAATCTCATGAAGGTAACAAAGGTTTCTTTCATGTATCTACTTAAATTATGATAAAAACATGAATGAATCTAAATGGAGGGGAATATTTTAGAGAAATGGTAAGTCCCTGCAGATAAGTGTCAAGGTTGATTCTGGGGCTTAATTATCACATTTAGCCTTCAGCTGTTGGATGTATCAGAAATGTTAAAAGCCTCCTCTCAGCATTTCTGAAAGTCTAAGAAATCAATGTTGTGTTTTGCTCCAGAATAGAATTTTATTTGTAATGTTTTTTAAAATGTTGTAAGAAGTTACCTCTACCTTTAGAGAGTAAAAATAACTGATACCGGGCTGGAAATATATTTTCCTAAGGAATCCAGAAAAAATGAGCACAGTATATTGTCTCATTGCAACAGGGCTAGCTGCTAATTGAGAAGTTTGGTTTTTATTCTGCAGGGACAATATAGTTATCTATTTTATGACCAATCCTTTATATCTTCCTCATGACTTTTAAAAATCATTTTCTACCCACCTCCCACCTAAAAGAGTGAAAACAAACAAAACACACACACATACCCTCACAATAACTAAGAAGTTTAGGGAAAGAGTTAAACTTCATTAGAGACTTTACATTATATCACTAATAAGCAGATACTCTATTGCTCACAAAACATTTTATCCTACTTTAGCATATGAACTACTCCGTAGCCTTTTATCAGATGTTTCACAGCTAATTTTATGTTTTCTCAGTGACTTTCTGCACTGTAATTAAAGACTTGCAAAAATTGTCTAACACAAGTTTATTGGGTAGAGCCAAGACTACCTCTGAGTTCAGTAAATTTGAGTATTTCTGACTCAATAAAGAATATTCATGTAAGCAAAAAATACGGTTTCTTTTCATTACCTTACCTTAAAAACAAATCTGCAAGTGTAACGAAGTCCACATACTGGACAGAACTGATTACCACCAGACAAAGCCTGGGAAAGACCAAACTTAATGACCTTTTTATGAAGCAAGAATATTGCAACTCTTCAAAACCCCGTCACCCCAGGATGGTTTATATATATGATATGATGTATACCCATCCTATTATACATATTCCAAATTACTTTTTACCATGGGGAAGATGATAGATGAAAAATGTGCCTTGTGATTAAAAAAAAAAAAAACCTGCAAAATTAAGAATGCACATTAATGAGAAATCATGCAGGAAAGAAATGGATTTTCCAAACATAGCCAGGGAACCATTTCTTGAAATAATTTAGCCTAGTACCATCCTTCTGAACTTAAATTCCTTGATCACCAAACACATTTTGGGAAATGCTGATGTAGGGGGAAGTCTTTTGTCCAGAGTAATAAATTTTGAATTCAAAGTGCTTTTGAAGCACAGAGCGTAGTTATAAACAAAGATTTGCCCCCTATAGGAACTGGAAAATGAGTCCCTAACCCTAATCACTGTAACCCCTGATGTCAAATTTCTAGCCAAGGACAGAGAGGCTGGACCCAAGTTTGCCCTCTGAAACATGTAAACAATAGAGACATAGGTGAGTAGGAAATGGCTAGTTTAGTGGTACCAATTTCAAAAAAGTGACAAGTATCTCAAATTAGAAAACAAATTGGGAACAGTTTTTCTATTTTCTAAAGAGAATTCATTATAATAGGAACCCTTTGGCAGAAGTTCCCTGGAATATTTTCACTAGATTTCAGAATTTGCAGCTCCTTAGAGGGTCCATTACTTCCCACTACCCCCCAAAAGCAAGGTACAATTTTAAAATGAGCTAATTTTTAAAATATTAGACATAGGGGAAAAAGAAAAAAGTGATCAGTCCATTTTTTGGATGGCAGAATTATGTGCTTTTCTTCCTACTTCATTTTTAAAATATTCTATTTATTTTTCTAAATTTTTTTAATGTTTTATTCATTTTCTGAGAGAGGGAGAGAGAGAGAGAATGCAGGGAAGGGGCAGAGAGAGAGAGCAAGGGAGACACAGAATCCGAGGCAGGCTCCACGGCCCGGACCCTGACGTGGGGCTCCAACTCACGAACCATGAGATCATGACCTGAGCTGTAGTCAGACATTTAACTGACTGAGCCATCCAGGAGCACCACCCCCCCCCACCTTTTTTTGAAATTTTCTATTAAAAGAAAAAATTTTTAATATTTATAAGTGAGTGGGGGAGGGGCAGGGAGAGAAGGGAAGATACAGAACTCCAGAAGTGGGCTCCAGGCTCCACGCTGTCAGCACAAAGCCTGACATGGGGCTTGAACTCATGAACTGTGCGATCATGACCTGAGCCCAAGTCAGATGCTTAACAAACTGAGCCACCCAGGCACACCTAAAATTTTCTATTTATTTAGAAGTTTTCTATTTTTTTATAAGAAAAGTAAATGATTTAAACAGAACCTCAAATTTTAGAAACACCAGTTTACAAAGGCAGTTGTTACACCTTCTTACGTATTCATTAAACATTTACAGAGTTTATGTTGAAATAACACCTGGTTAAGTCAAAGTTAATTTAAAAATGGTTTTCCCTCATTGACCAAGGACACGGGAGTTCTGAAGGATGAATAGTGAAGGACTTTAGGACCAAGATGGGAAGTTTGTGTTTTAACAACCGAGAGCAGAACTCACAACTCATGTCTCTGCTCTCCAGCCCAGCAATCTGTTCCGGGAGGGCTCTGTCCACTCTGTTAAGGGTCTACCTTCTGTTAATGGAGGCCTTCAGAGAGCTCCTGGAGCTATGCTTCCACCTGGTGGTTAGAAAAGTGCTTAACTAAAGAGATTTGGTCTCACATGCCTCTGTTTTTTAATGTGTTTAAATGTTTATTTTTGAGAAAGAGAGGCAGAGACAGAGTGTGAGCCGGGGAGGGGAAGAGAGAGAGGGAGACACAGAATCTGAAGCAGGTTGCAGATTCTGAGCTGTCAGTACAGAACCTGATGTGGGGCTCGAACTCACTGCAAGATCATGACGTGAACTGCAGTTGGACCCTTAACTGACTGAGCCACCCAGGCGCCCCCACATACCTCTTAAAAAAGAAGGAAATAAATGCGAGAAAAGGTGGAAGAACTTTTACATAGAGGGATATTTTAAGCAAAGCTTTACCAATTCTGGTACAATTCTGATACCGTATCAACTTTTGAAGACCACGGTGTTCTCAGAATGTTTCTTTTGCCATTGAAGTAATTTATTGCAATATTGCTGACAATATTTTTTCAGGATGTTTTTTAAAACTGTCTTTTCCCCTCTTGTAAATTTCAGAAAACTACACGGCTATTTTCCTTGCCAATCACCATCCTTTACTGAATGCCTACTGTGCACGCAATGCATTATATTCAATGCATTATATTCGGTACCTGGGGGGAAGAAAGAGATACAAATGGATATTACAACCTGCTTTTGGAGAGAAGGTACAAAGCAACATGTAAACTTAAGTGTGAACAAAGTACCTCAGAACTGAGACAATGTAGGGGAGAAAAAAGATGTGGTTAATTCAAGGCTACTTTAGCTGGGTTTTGGCACGGTTATGGTCACAATTGGCTACAAGAAAAATATTATTAAAAGCTACCATTTATAAGTCCTTACTACCTACCCAGACCCTATCCTAAGCTCCATGTATTTGTAATTCTCAGGTTACAAAGCAAGCAAGTACCAGATCTGCTATTTGAATTTAGCCCTTCCCACTCTACTAGGATAAAAATAAGTCATGCGAGAAGATGGAAATGAACTTTTGCACCAAAAGGGTTTAAGACAATGGTGGGGAAGAGAAAGCTGTTTCACAGAGAAGTCTAAAAGTCTAAATGAACACGCAATACATTTGAGATAATATCCAACAAGAAATAGAATTAAGTTTTTTCTGACTTCAAATCAGGGAAACATGAAGCTATCTGTAAATATCTATAAAGGCACCAAACATAGGGGACACCAAAGCCAGTGAAGTCAATTTGATTGATTTTACTGTGATCTTGAAGAAGGGCTAATAATGCAGGGTAGGGTGTCAACTGGGAAGGTGTGAACCAAATTAACACATAAAAGTACTAAAATTTAACTGAGAGATGTTTAAATGGAATTCATCTAACATGACAGTAACAACAATAGAAAGGATTGAAATTTTGTAATTTGTAATGTGAGCTACTGTAATAAGCTTGTTAGGACATCTAAACAGTCATATTCTGAAGACAAATCTGTGGGACTAAAACGAGATGAAAGGAAGATGTCGGTCAATTTATTTAATTATTTTTTAAATGTCTTCTTTTGAGAGCATGTGTGGGGGAGGTACAGAGAGAGGGGGACAAAGGAGCTGAAGTGCGCTCCACGCTGACAGCAGAGAGCCGGATATGGGGCTCGAACTCACAAACCATGAGATCCTGACCTGAGCCAAAGTCAGATGCTCAACTGAGCCACCCAAGCACCCCTATTAATTTTTTAAAACATGAATCTTTAAAGAAGAGCTTTAAAAGACAGCAATAAAAATTCAAGTATGTTTTAGGATCATCCCTCTCCTAAAAATAATCAATTGTAGTTCCCTCATTCAATATATTATTTTAATGTGTACATTGTGGGGAGTCTCATCTGCTTGTCACTTGAGACTGCTCTTGTTTTCTGTTTTTATTTTCATGTTAACGGTCCCATTTATAATTAAACATATTCAACACTTCTAAGCACCTGTGTGCTGCTGCACTAAAATATTTATCTTTTTAAAGTATTTTTAGATGTCAAAAATTCCCTACTATATAGAACAGAAAGCTGGCTCTATGACAGATAACATGGCCAAAAAATTTTAAGCAGATGGCATTTTCTTAAAATAAACACTTTTTTGTAAAGATGAAATCAAACCCAGTTCAAAACCCAAACAATGACCAAGTACAACTACAAGCTTTTCACAATGCCATGACAACTTCCAGTTATCACCCTAAACCAACAGACATCTACACACTAACCAGTATCTTCAAAACACTCATTAAAACTCAAAATTAGGGGCGCCTGGGTGGCGCAGTCGGTTAAGCGTCCGACTTCAGCCAGGTCATGATCTCGCGGTCCGTGAGTTCGAGCCCCGCGTCGGGCTCTGGGCTGATGGCTCAGAGCCTGGAGTCTGTTTCCGATTCTGTGTCTCCCTCGCTCTCTGCCCCTCCCCCGTTCATGCTCTGTCTCTCTCTGTCCCAAAAATAAATAAACGTTGAAAAAAAAAATTTAAAAAAAAAAAAAAAAACTCAAAATTAACAAATGGGGCACCTGGGTGGCTCAGTTGGTTCAGCGTCCAACTCTTGATTTGGGCTCAGGTCATGATCTTGTGGTTTATGGGTTCAAGCCCTGCATGGGGATCCACACTGACAGCTTGGATTCTCTCTCTCTGCCCCTCCCCCACATACAGGTGGGCTCACACACATTCTTTCAAAATAAATTTAAAAATTAAAAATTAAAAAGTGCACTTAATGATGACAGCTAACCCTGGTCTGACTTTGGAGCCTGTGGACTCCTGCTTTACAAGACAGGTTCCAATGATGTGACTGACTCAAATTATTATCAAACACCTATATATCTGTGTCACTCACAATCAAGAAAAGGATCTTGGCCTCATGGAATTTAGTTTCAGAGATGATGCAGAGACATGACAGGTAATTACAAGGAGCTTTCATGCTGACAGGTAGCAAGGTGGTTACCCCACTCCCTTCCCAGCCCCAGCTATACCCTTCCAGAACATTCACCATCACTTGTTGAGAAACCACTTAAGCCAACCTGCCATGTGATAACACAAGTGAACAGGAGGGAGAAAACAGCATGTCCTGGCCCTACTAAACCATGTAACGTCATTCTCTGAAGCTGGGTCTTATTCGTTGCCTTGGATGCTCCCAACTACATTAAGCAGTCCATTAATATGTGTACTGACACAACAGCAGTGATGGCCATTCCAAAAATAGAAGCACATTCAGACTTGTACCTTTGATTACCCAAATAGAGGATATTCAAGTATAATTTCTATTTTAACAAAGCTCATTACAGAAAAATTGTAAGATCCAATAATCACACTCTTGAAACAATGCTTAATCAAACATTTAGTATTTTTATTTGTAAATCAATAAATAATTTATGTATACTAAACCTAAAAATTTAGACAATTTAATGGATAGGCATGGCAAATGAAACCATCTGCAGATCTGAATGTTTTCTAAGTAGCATAATCACTGCATTCCATACCCTGAATGTACATAACTTACATTTAATGTACTTCTATTTTTTTAAATCAGATACGTCTCTAAATTTTAACAAAGTGGGGATCATTTAAAATATGAGTAGCGGGGTTAAGGATGACCTACATATCGAACTCGAATTACGTTAAAACCCAAACAGAGAATATAAACAGAAGTGAAATTTTTCTAAAAGGAAGTATTTACTATTCCCATTCCCAAAGTAAATTATACTAGAGAAGAAATAAATCTACATGTACGGAGATACTTTCTCACTTTGATATGTATAAAAAAAAATTTCATGTTGTCTAAATTTTTAGGGTTATATAGTTAGAAATATAGAATTCTACTTTTATAGACATGTCCACTAGGGGAAATAAGTTAGCACAATCATTTGAATTGGTTGTCTACATACTGGACAGGGCTTATTCCTCTTCTTTAGCTTTTTTGCACAAGTAAAGCATGCCATAAGATGTCCTGTTTTGCCATGAACAATGCAACCATTTTTAGGTCGACCCTGGCAAATCACACAAGGTTCAATGGCATTATGGGGAAAACTAGATTCCATGATTTCTTCTTTGTCTTGTGTTTCTTCCCTCTCAAACTCTTTGACATCTTCTTGGCTGCTATGAATGATGCTGTTAGAAGTTGATGGCTGAGAATAGTCCTCACTTTCTTGGGATTGGGAGGCCTGTGTGATTTTATCATCATTTTCCTCAGCACATGATTCCCTGGAATCATTCACTGTAGTTTTTTTACAATCAGGGACATCAAAGCCCTCTTCTACTTGTGTTGAGTTTTCCACTTTGGCTTTCTCAGGCATTTTCCCTTTATCTTTCCCTTTATCTTCAGGAAGCCAATTCTCACGAAGAGCCCAACATCTGTTGCAATGAGGTGGAAGAGGAGGATTCATTTCATTGCACGAAGTACACTTCCAATAGTCCTTCAATGAAAAAAGAGTTCGTTTCTGTAACCCTTTAACAACTACTCATAGCCAACTCTAGCAACTTCAGTATGTCTGAAATAAAATCTATCAGAGTTCAATTTTCAGCATTTTATGTTTTATATAAAACATTCAACATGTAACAATCTTTCCTCAAGCATGAGATTATAACAACACACATAAAGTATCTATTTTTTTCAGGCAAACTATGCTGAAGAATCGTAAAACAAAAAATGTATTCACCATGATCTTAACCACGTACCAATAAAGTTATCTGGGGACACAGATACAGCTGGTTCATCTAGGTGAAGCAAGTGTGATGTAGTCTTTTACTCTGAAATGAGGCCTGTACCCACTTCACTCTCTTAAAGGCTCAACCCTAGGCCCAATGTCTACCAATCAATCTAGACGAAACCACTGCCCAATGAGCCACTAAGACTGCCTTGGAAGTGCTCTAAAACCTGGGCTCAAGGGAGTTTCCCTCATTTCATCCACAAAGGAAATGCTAAAACATTCTCGGCAATCACGGCCACCTAAAATCTGTCATCCTTGTCACTATCCAAAATGTATGCCCCTTATTTAACTATGCTTTTCTGTGTTCTCACCTCTGTAACTGCTTATTGCTTCTCCCATATCTCAACTTATTTCCCAACCTTTCCACCATCATGCAATTTGGAAAACAAACCCCCTTTAAATCCCCCAGGCTCTTTTAACGAACATATTCTTATTCCACTATCTTAACTGAAGCATGTTTCTTGCCTGAGGACAAAATACATGTAAAACTTGCCATGAATAATATAACCATTTTTTAAAAACTGTCTATTTATTTGGGGGGGGGGGGGGGGAGGGAAGGTTCCGTGCTGTCAGTGCAGAGCCCTCGGAGCTGACACAGGGCTCAAACTCACAAACTGTGAGATCATGACCTGGGCTGACATCAAGAGATGCTTAACTGACTGAGCCACCCAGGTGCCCCAATATAACCATTTTTAAGTTGCCTCACAAATGCCTAAGACCTCAGCAGTAGGGATGGAGACTGTTCACTATTGTACATTAGTTTGAGTTCTCAATGTACGTTGCTACCCAACTGATAAAACCAAAGACAAAAGTTTTATAACATGTGGGAGAAAGTGCTTCAAAGACCCCAATAAACTGCAGGATCTATGTCTGGCATAAAGTAAGTCAACTAGTTACTTGAATTATTTTCTATTACAGCAAAAAAAAAATTTTTTTTTTGAATTTCACAATTTCACCTTTTTTGCATTTAGATAATAGTTTCCAACTCAGCCAAGAAAAATAAGATTTCCTATTCAAATACAACTAAAGGCATTAAGAACAAAATTAGGGGCACCTGGGTGGCTCAGTGGGTTGGGCGTCTGTCCAACTTTGGCTCAGGTCATGATTTCAGTTTGTGAGTTCGAGCGCTGTGTCAGGCTCTGTGCTGACAGCTCGGAGCCTGGAGCCTGCTTCGGATTGTGTCCCCTTCTCTCTTTGCCCCTGCCCCACTTGCACTCACTCTCTCTCAAAAATAAACATTAAAAAAAATTGTTTTATAAAAAAGAACAAAGTTACAGGCACTGGGGTGACTCCGTCGGTTAAGCACCCAACTCTTGATTTCAGATCAGGTCAATTCAAGCTCACAGTGCATAAGTTTGAGCCCCGTGTCAGGCCCTGCACTGGCAGTGCGGAGCCTGTGTGGGATTCTCTGTCTCCCTCTCTCTGCCTCTCCTCTGCTCATGTTCTCTCTCTGTCAAAATAAACATTAAAAATAAATAAATAAATAAAGCAGTGCGTCTGAGTGGTTCAGTCGGTTAAGCAGCCAACTCTTGATTTCAGCTCAGGTCATGATCTCACAGTTCATGGGACTGAGCCCCGCATCGGGCTCCACACTAACAGTGCAGAGACTGCTTGAGATTCTCTCTCCTCTCCTCCCCTTATTGCTTTCTCTCTAAACAAACAAACATTAAAAAAAAACTAAAGCTTTAATATACAGTAAAAAACCCAACTTCCAATACCCCAGGAACCCTATGAAGCATGAAATGTGAACGTCCTGAATTCTTAAATGGCAAACCCTACCTACCACATTCTCTAGTACAAATCAACATGATGGGAAAAATGTTTGTAACTATTACAGCTCGGTGATAAATACACTAGAAATAACATTATACTACTCTCTATGCTGTACATGCTTGAAATTTTCAATAAAAAATTCTTTAAATGTTCATATCCTAGCACCAAAAAACCCCTAAAAAATGTAGTAACAGATTCCAACACAACAAGTAAAAGAAAAAAATGCTTTAAAACTTTTTAAAAAGGATTTTAGCTTTATAGAAATTACCTCATGTCAGGAAGTAGACTAGGCATATTTTTCTAATGTTAACCTCAATGTTTTGATTCCTTAAAAAAACAGATGTATACTTACAGCTAAGGAAATTTCAGGATCTTCTTCAAATGAATCTGTATCACTCTCCCCTGCCTGATACACAGTTACTCGATATACCTAATAAAATAAATCCATCAACATCAATTTATCACCTTTTTTCCTTAACCAGGAAGGCTTCTTAGTGGTAAGTCCTAACAAATAGCATGTACTACTATAGATGAGAACCTCTGAGACAGAGGTTGAATGAAATAGAGGGGGAAAAATGAAGGACCATGAAATCCTCACCCACTATGGTAAAAAGGCAACAGGATGATTAAAATGAATAAGGCAAAAAATTCAGTATAAGCATTTTTATTTTATAAATATGGGGATATTAAATAACTGTGAAACAGCCAGAAATGTTGAAGGTGGTCACCTCCAGTGACTTTAACTGTGTGCATACTTTACTTTTATAAAAATGAGGGGCGTCTGGGTGGCTCAGTTGGTTAAGCGTCTGACTTTGGCTCAGATCATGATCTCATAGTTCGTGAGTTCAAGCCCCACATTGGGCTCTGTGCTGACAGCTCAGAGCCTGGAGCCTGCTTTGGTTTCTGTGTCTCACTCTCTCTCTGCCCGCCTCCCCACCACCTGCATTCTGTCTCTCTCTCAAAAAATAAACATTAAAAAATTTTTTTCAAGTAAATTAATATTAAAAAGAGGGCAATTTTAAAATTTAACTTTATTAAGTAAACTCTACCCCAAAACATGGGGCTTGAAATCATGACCCAGAGATCAAGAGTTGCATGCTCCACCCACTGAGCCAGCCAGGCATCCCAAAGAGGGGAATTTTTTTTTTTTTTAAATAAGACTTTTATAAGAACATTCATTAAGAACTGTTGACTTTTTGACATTTATAGTTACAAGAGCATAAATCAAAGAACTACAAAAGCCTGAAGTCCACAAAATATTCCAGTTTGAACAAGAGTCAAAGATAAAGTGAAATCAGAATACATTATAATTTCAAATAGCATCAATGAATACAGAAAATATTTAAGAAATTCAGACTATAGAGAAATAAAACTACCTCATCATCTTCATCTGAGAGTTCTTGTCCTTCTTCACTAAGGCTATAATCTTCTGAATCGAGAGACTCAACTTCAAATTCTACACTGAATTGATCTGAAACTGAATCCTGATCCAACCAATCACCTGAATGTTCACTTACACCAGCATCGAGATCCTAAAATAGGGGGGGAAAAAAAAGTTACTTGAAGTACATTACCTGTTGGCCTCTGTAACAGCTTCCTGGCTCATCCCTATAGTCCTATTTCCATCTTAAATCCACCCTACACAATGATACTAGATTAAGATTCTGGGTTATTAATATATTATGTTCCCAGTTCAAAACCCCATCACATAAAGGAAAAAGCCAAATCCCCTTGGCATTCAAGGCACACAGAGTAGGGCCATATTAACACTTTCATCTTATCTTCCAACTAGACACTGCTCCCCCCACCCTCAATATGAACAATCGGCCAGATCTACCCTTTTTTCTAAACCAAACTTGACAGTTCACCTTACACACTTTACCTCTCTCGCTGGAATAACTTAACAGTTTTTAAGTCCTACTCATCCTTTTTTGATAAGGCTTCTGTCAATACCACAAGAAGAAAAGTACTTCCACTTTTAATTACCTTTCCTACTTACATATTGAATACTATATACTTTTACACATAAGATTACACAAAACATAGTTTTCTATACATGTTTCTTATCTGAGTTATACGTACTTTAAGAGTTATAAAAATGTCTTAATCTCTTTAGATCTTCAGATTGGTAGAACAGTAGTAGCTACAACCCACATGACAATTATGAGATTTTATAATTTTCTTGAGATTTATTTTTTTTTTTTTAATTTTTTTTTCAACGTTTATTTATTTTTGGGACAGAGAGAGACAGAGCATGAACGGGGGAGGGGCAGAGAGAGAGGGAGACACAGAATCGGAAACAGGCTCCAGGCTCTGAGCCATCAGCCCAGAGCCTGACGCGGGGCTCGAACTCACGGACCGCGAGATCGTGACCTGGCTGAAGTCGGACGCTTAACCGACTGCGCCACCCAGGCGCCCCAAGATTTATTTTTTAATGAACTTTGATAATAATTTCTTTGGAAGAGCTTTCAGACATAATTTTTTAAATTTATTTTTTAAATTCTGTATCAGCTCATGCGGTTTCTCATTTTATAGTATAAGAACCCTAATAAGACCATTAGTCCCATATTTACTGTCAGTGCTAAGAATAGGAACATATACAAAACAGAAGGCTAGACAGAAAAAATACATTGGTCTAAGAATCAGGAAACAAACATTCTTTTCTTCTAAGGTTTATTTATTTTTGAGAGAGAAAGAGAGTGAGCGAGCAGAAGAGGGGCAGAGGGCAAGACAAAGAATCCCAAGCAGGCTGCACACTGTCAGTGCAGAGCCTGAGGCGGGGATCAAACTCACAAATAATGAGATCAAGACCTGAGTGAAAACCAAGAGTTGGGCCCTTTACCAACCGAGCCACCCAGGCACCCCAGGATACATTCTTCTTCTAGATTTGCCACTAAACAGCTATTTAACCTTGGACATATTTAAAGCCATAAAGGCCGCAGCCACTTCATCTATGAGAGTTTGGATTAAATAATCTCTAATACTTCTATCATTTGTAAAAAAACAAAGTATATTATTTTATAAACACTGAGGTCAAAAGACTTTTTCACAGTGATGTTAGGATAGTAGTAAAAGCAAAATTGACAAGTTGCAGTTAATGATTCTTAACAAGGGTTCTATTAACATTCAGGTTAAAATTACATATGAAGCTAGAATATGATCTCTAATAAGGTAACCTAATAAACTGTATACTTCAATTAACTAGCATTTTAGTGCACTAAGTCTAAATTTTTTTTTTTAATGTTTATTTCTGAGAGAGAGACAGAGCACAAGTTGGGGAGGGGCAGAGAGAGAGGAAGACACAGAATCTGAAGCAGGCTCCAGGATCTGAGCTGTCAGCACAGAGCCCGATGCGGAACTCAAACTCACAAACTGTGAGATCATGACCTAAGCTAAAGTCGGACGCTTAACTGACTGAGCCACCCGGGTGCCCCTATTGCACTAAGTTTAGAATATGGGGATATATCACAAAAAAGATGAAAGTCTCAGCAGGTATCTTCTCTTGTATGGGTTGACAAAGTATGGCCCACTACCCATCTATTTTTACAAATAAAGTTTTATTGAACACAGCCATGGCCATTGGTTTTCCTGAGACAATTTCTGTTTCCAAACAGACAATTATTAGCTATGGAATCTTAAACAAGTTATTTGAAACCTTCAAGCTTATCTTTCCCATCTATAAATGGAATGTGAGGCTGCTCAGCTGGTACCACGTAAACTGTCTAGTACAGAGCCTAGAATATAGCCTTAGTTCCTCAATTTATTAAGCCCAAAAGAAAAAAAGATGGATGGAAGTCAGACGCACTTTCCTTTAACTGCCTTCACAGGCGGGTGAATAATGACACCAAATGAGGACTATACCATTCTCATATCAGGTAAGCTAAAAACAAGGAAAAACCCTGCCCCTACCAAAAGCTTTCACAAGTAGGAACTCAGCCTGCAAAACAGTAGATTTTTAATAGAATTTTTAGAAGAGAATATAGGATAGGAATAACAAAAAGAAAAAAGAAAATATCCTCTGTTGCTTTAATAACAAGGCAGTGTCCCAGGGTAGAAAGAAAAAACAAGGACTTTAAAAATCATTTAACTAGAATTCTGAAACAACTGTAACAAAGTCTGCAAGTTTAATGGGTCATAGTTCTACTTAAATCATTTGTAAGGAATAAAATTATCCAAACATGAAGTCTGTGTACATGTTAAGCTTTCTTTAATTGGATTCAATTTTCAGATCACATATGTTTGCTCTCAAGAACCTGTATTTTTTTTCTACAACATTTGTTAAATGTCTTAATTACCTCATTGCTGATGATGTGTCTCCCCATGAGGGCAGGGACCATATCTATATCTACCTTGACAACCACTCCAGTGCCAAACGGAACCTGGTATAGAAAACATTTACGTACCTACTGAATGAAGAACTTGCTCTCTATACCATCTAGTGGCCTACAGAAGTAACAGCTCTATTAAATACTAAGTCTAGAGGGTACATCTGTATCCATAAAATCAGTGCTTTGGAAGGGAAAAAAAGTAAAGATAACGTAAGAAATAACAACAATAGGGACACCTGGGTGGCTCAGTTGGTTAAGTGTCTGACCTCGGCTCAGGTCACGATCTCACTCTTTGTGGGTTTGAGCCCCGCGTCGGGCTCTGTGCTGACAGCTCAGAGCCTGGAGCCTGCTTCAGATTCTGTGTCTCCCTCACTCTCTGCCCCTCCCCTGTTCA